AGTAGTAGTAGTAGTAGTAGTAGTAGTAGTAGTAGTAGTAGTAGTAGTAGTAGTAGTAGTAGTAGTAGTAGTAGTAGTAGTAGTAGTAGTAGTAGATACTATCATTACCTGTAATAGCAGGTAGTATCGAAGTATATGGTGAAAATAAACTTTACTGGATCTATTGATTCTATGAACCTAGCATGTAAACTCTGCACTAGAAAAGATGAAGCTGATAGCGGGACTAGTGACACAGTATATTGTACTCATTCTACCACAGGAAGACCCCTTCAAAACCAGCAACCGGAAATTTCTACGTACGCAGCCTTTGAGCCCGAATTGATGATACGGTATGTAGGTATGTGAATGTACATAATCAGGATACTATGATAAGCTATGGTCAGGTTATGCGTCAGCAGATCAGTTCGATACGTATCATCATCACTGACGATTGGGCCTTCTTCGAGAATACGGGAAACATCAAGTTAGACCTTCAGTTTGTAATCTTTGCAGCATGACTAGTAAGAAGGCCCGTGGCTGTCACAAGGTAATTTGTCTGAGAAGATAGCAGGTGACACTGGTAAATAGCAGTCTCGTGAAATGGAAGCTTGGATAAATTCATCCTAGGTTTGGAGTAGTAGAAAGATTTATCGCCGCAAGTTAGGAAAGATGTGTAATGAATTTGATTGTAAACAGAGCATGCCCATACTCAGGATTGACTCTCCCGTTTTTTCCGCCTGATGGTAATAGTCCTGCCCCAAGTTTCCGTGGTGAATTTTCCAGTAAGGTTTGCAGGGAAAGCCACCCCTCGGTCGTGAGCTTCTATTATTTCCAGCTCTATTCGATTTAGGTAAGGACTAGTGCCGAGCGGTTCGATATTTTCCAGGAGGTTCCGGAATCTGATCCCACCCCAACTTCCTATACTTTCCTCCATGCTAGCTCGATGCACTTCGATCAGTGTATTTGGGGGTAGTCCGGCATTTTTCAGAACTGTCAGACGTCGATTGTCAAGTGTGAAATAAGGAAGTGCCCACCATGTTCTCGCCCTGTCTACTTCAGACATTCCTTCCTTTTCAGCCGCAGACAGTTCAACAGGCACTGGAGTGACATGCATGTGGTCATACCGGCGATGGAAGTATTCGAGAGCTCTCTGGGCAGCGCCTTCCTCTGACAATCCGGCTGCTTTAGCCTGTTTGAATTGGCGTTTCACCTTCGCAGCCTCACGGAGTATACCCTTCTTATCATTCGGGACAACATGAACTTCTTGCGCAACATTCTTCTGGGACCATCTGATATCGCAAAGCTCCAGCTGAAACGTGCGGCACGGAACGGCCTCTTGTAAATGCCCTGGATTGCCAGCGCGAGCAACAGCTCTACCGCCTTGTTGGTTATGTCCTATACATGGTCTAAAATATATCGTGTGGCTCCCAGAGGGACCGGCTCGGTCGCTGTTATCGTTTGAATGGCGATGTTGTTGAACCGGTCTGTGTGGCTGGCCTTGGCTGGTACTTGGCTCATGATTTTGTCTAGGCTGACCCTGCCTATTTCTGCCTTGTTTCGCAGTCCCTCGATGGTCATCAAAATTCACTGGGTCATTTCCTGCGTAGATGTAAAGATTTAGACCGTCCACAGTCCCCAGTGGATCTGGCGATGTCCAGCGGCCAAGCCACGGCGCATAGTATCGCTCCCCACAATGGTATAGGCCACTTTCCTTATCCCGGTAGTAGCCGGCGAAGCGATAATTGCGAGAAACCCCTTTATGCCGATACTGGTAGGTGCTGGTACCAAAGGGAGAATACTCCTCGTAGAAAATGGGCGCTGCATTGTTATCCAACCCTAGATGCGGGCTTAGCTGATACTGGACGAGCAGGTCCGAGCTGTGGCCCTTCTCGAGCGTGGCGATTGGAGCTGTCCCCAGGGCAGCATCACCCACATTTAGGGTAGTTATTTCGCGACGTCTACTGCAGCCATCGCCTTGATATGCCACAAAAAGTTCGAAGAGGGGCAGATACTTGGTCTCTTTGCTTTTGGTTGGTGTTGTTTTGCCAGCGGGGTCGGCACTGCGTTCTGTGATCTTTCGCACTCTCGTGCCATTGGCATCGTAAACGTACCAGGTAGTCTCTGGTGCTGCCAAAACAGATACCCGTTGCATTGAGAGTGATTGCAATTTGTCTGTGTAGTCCCATCTGAGCGATGAATAGCCGGGCATTTCAGTCATGCATCCGTGTCGTCCAGCATCATCGTCGTATTCGTAGTCCTGTTGTCTACCAGCAGACGATGTGCTTGACAGTCTGTTGCTCAATTGAGCGTCGCAAACACGGCTTTCCTCATTGTATTTATACTCTCTCGTCCAGCCGGAGTAAGGGTTAGCGGGTGTGTGCTGTAGCAGAAGTAGGTTTCCGGCATTATCGTAGGTATAGCTCTCCTCATAGCGTATCATTCGCCTGCCGTCGCCCAACCCGCTATTGCGTGTTCCGGAATTGAAATCATACGGTTTGAGTGCTCTGCCTCCACCGTGTGCAGCATTGACTTGTTCGCGGCCCGTGGCTCTGACGATCTGACCGAGTAAGTCGTACTCGAACTGTCGTTCAGGCGACACCACCTTATTTTGGAAGAAGACAACTTGTTGTGTGCTATCCTGGGTACGTACAATATTCCCCATACAGTCATGGGTGTGGACGAGGTTCTGCAACACCTTTTTGTCTTTGAGTCGTACGCTACAAGTGGCAATAAGGCGACGGCTCTTTCGATCATAGGTGTGGGTGGTCCTTGACCCCTTTCCAAAGGTGACGCACTTCAGTTGGCCATCGGGCTCATACATAATACCTTCCGCTGAAGATGTCACCGAGTGGCTGTTACGATCGTAGGATCGAAGTGCCCGTAATCGGCCAGCCGCATCATACTCTCGTTGTACGCGACCTACCCCATCTGCCACTGTGTCTAATGGCTGGTCAAGCGCATTGAACGTAATTGTGCTTTTGTATTCGTCCTCTTCGAGGGTAACCTCCTGGGCTTCGGACCAATCTATCAATTTCTTGTACTCGTCTGCATACCGGATGCTGGACTCGATACAATTTCCCTTGAAGTCAAACCGATGGTTGGTGTGAAGCCCGGATTGGTCGTAACACTGCCACAACTGGCCTTTGAGGTTGAGCGAGACTGCATTCGCATTTGCTTCGCCATAGATCCTTTGCACTGTCAGAACCTCTTTTTCCGCGGCTCCATATTGGACCCAAGTATTGGTTGGCCGCCGTAGCTTGTCATACTCCACGCGCTGCCGAATGCCTCGATCTGACCAAGACAAGAGTGGAGTATTTTGGCAGTCTAGTAAGAGCCACCGCTTTCCTTTGTCCATATTGCACGTGCGAACAGGTCGTCCCAGCAGATCACTCAGGCTAATCTCAACGGTTCTCTCGAGAGTATCCAAGGTCCTTTCCAGGTTGCCTCGGATATCAAATTTTGTTTTGGTCTCACGTTTCACCATGCCATTACTAGTTCCCTGAATGATGGGGTGACCAAATACGTCTAGGTGTGTGGTTACGGGCGTATCATGGTATATTTTGGACTGCTGCGCGGCTTTCTCATCGTATTTGTTGTATTGATGAGAAGCATTGTCTGTCCGCTGGTGATACCAACTAGTAAAGCCAGGGGCCAATTTCAATTGTCGGAAGTAGCTGCCAACGTCCACGTCACTGGTTGGATCAATTAAGATTGTGTCTCCCGCATCAAAGGATGACTCCATCCATGGCGTAAAACGAGTTTTGGTCCAGGTATGATCGGCATTCAGAACTCCGACAACACGACCGAGTGGATCTCGAACGAATGTGGTCGCTGGCAGGGTCAGGTTTCCGTTGGCGCTTGAAAATGATGGCTATCAGTCTCGAAGGACTGGAACTGTTTGACCGTGTCACCCTTGTTGTCGTGTCGGACCCATCCAGTAATGTTCCAGGTTGGTGAGCCACTTGGATTCTCTTTACAGGTGAAGGTGGCCTCCTGGATGCTTTGGCCAGTGCCGTTGATATAGGTGATATGAATTGAGATTTGTGTCTGGTTGAGACCATGTTCATTCAACGCACAGTGATTGTGGCGAACCAGTTGGGCCATGAATGGGGGAGTTAAGTGGTCGGGCTGGTGCGATGAACCAGTCGTCTTCTCATAACGATGAAAATCGTAGATCGTACGACTTGTCGCCTTTCCCAGAAGCTGAGCGGCCTTTTCAGTAGGATTCAAGAGGAAATTCTTTAGGTCCTTGTCATCTAGTTTCAACGGCACATCGTCCACATTGTCGCCAACAAAGTCGTCAGATTTACCCCTCGTAGCGATTCCGATGGGAAGCCCCAGTGAATCCAAAGCCATCTGTATTTGGTTCATGTTCGCATCGGTGATAAGAGTGGGTTGTAGTCTCGCATAATCCTGCTGGTACACGGTAGTATTGAGAGAAGCGTCGCTAGAGCTCGTCGTCAGCAGGCAGTGACGATCATAATATTCTCTGGAGACATTGCCAAACGGGTCAATGTGACCATTGGGAATATAGAAATGCGAGCGCGCTGCTGCCAGCCAATCATCTGAAAGGGGATCTTCAAGAAGCGCACGCGAGGATGGTAACCACCATTGGCCACTTGACGCCGGGCGCTCTACATAGCCACCTGCTTGTAGCTGTGCAGCCTCAAGGTTGGTCGGTATGTCAGAATATGCTTTGGCGAGAAATTCCGAAGTAAATACGAGCTTGTATGTCTGGTATACGTTCGAAAAAGGCATGAGAACTGCGAAATCTAGAGGATTGCGCATATCGTCCGTGTAAAGGACTTGTTCTGCAGTCAAGAGAGTTTTGCAACTCTTTGGGTTTTCTTGAGCAAATACATCTGGAAGGCCCTGGTGGGCCGGGACCTCGGTTGCTTGTTTTAAGATCTTGAAATCGTCCGCCGCCAGCTCATCCCAGGAGTAACGAGTCAAGCCGCCTGGCGGCGACACGGGAAACACTCGATAACGCCGAACCCCAGCCACAAGCGGAGTGTGGAAGTAGTTTTCAGCCTTCACTGCATTGGTGCAAGTTGTCTCAGTATACTCGATGACAGTTTCTGTCTGTCGTCGCTGGTCGTCGTAGTCAAGAAGTTGGCTCTCTAGCTTGCCATATCAGATTGTCGCCTCCAAAAGTTTGTTTCCCCAAAAGTCTGTTTTCAGCGTTAAATGATGCTGCACGCGAGCCTGACAAGGGTCAAGTCTCAGTGGATTTGACCCCTCGTTAGTCCCCCTTTCGTAGCATGTACTCACTTCCTCAAGGTCGTTAACTCTATAGACTGCGTGTCGCTGCTTATCGACAATCTTCTGCTCCAGTACAACCTCATATCTTTGCTGAGTTATCATATAAGGAAGTGCAGTCCGTCCATCACTTGCATCAGAGCTGAAAAGTTCCTGTCGCCGTGGCCTTCCAGCCAGAGCTCGATAGGCTTCGTGTCTCTCTTGGGGTGTAATGTTAGAGGGAATTTTTGCACTCGAGATATCCGCATGCTGTGGGTGACAAACTAAAAATCTCCAAGGAAGGGCTTCATCACTATCAACCTCTTCATGGCCAAGATAATACCACGAACGGCTGAGCACAGGTGGTCGCTGAAAGCTGGATGCTGTCTTTGCCTCATATTCCTCTGCGTCCCAAGTTTCAACCATTTGAAAACCCCGGAATTGACGATCTATGGGGTCGTAGTAGCCGTTATGGTAGTCGTAACGCTTGATATGACTTGTTTGCGCAATATGATCGACAACCTCGATTCGTGAAGCGCACTGAATAGGGAATGGCATTTTTGTCGTCCACGGCCGCCCGTTACGTTCATCCTCCCGGTAGAACATAGATGATGATCGGTATTCAAGCGTAGTTTCTCCTCCGATCCCATTGAGAGATCTGGAGAGTAGCCCAGGCCGTTGCCCTCCGGTCAGATCAATGTAGCGAATAGTGCCCAGGCCCCCATTACTAGCGTTACCATGGAGATTCGAGGCCCAGCATAAACATGGCGTACCTCTCCCAGTGATGTCTAGAACATCGACAGAAGAGGTATGATCTAAAGCCGGGATGAATGGCAGCAGACAGCCTTCGCTCCACCGGTTTCCCACCTGGTTATAGTATACCATGGCCCCACCGTCAGGTAGAAGGTAAATCAAATCAGTGGTGCCAGAGCCAGTAAGATCCGCTGTGCGGATACGCAATGATGAGAATTCACTCGGACTGGCCATCGCTGGAGCATTTCCCATCACCACCTGTGCCCCAAATGTGCCATAACCCATGTTTGGCCAGTAGCAGATATTGCCGTTACCAAAATGCACAATGTCAGCTAGACCATCGCCGCTCATATCACAGAGCAAGATTGCTGAGTTTGGGTCCCCTAAGAACAATTTGGGTGCCCCGGCTGTACTCCGGGCTGGTCCATAACCGCCGGTTCCAAGAGACTTACACCATGCAAACTCTTCATTCATATCATTGACCATTTGCAACAAGTCGGCACGTCCATCACCGGTCAAATCGACTCTTCTAACATTGTGCCTACCAGCAGAAAACAGTATCGGATTGGACTCGAACGGGGTGAAAGGGTTCCAGCCTCCTTTACTTTCCCGTCCGTAGAACCCGTGCATCTTCATGTCCGGTGCTTCAATGACAACACTCGGCAAGCCATCCCCTGCAATATCTTCAAACTCCCACATGTGATCGTTGAGCATACTAGGGATTGTATCCACCAGCTGTGGGTCTCCAAGCTGAGTTCCAAGGTCACTTGTGAGATTGCGTCGATAGTACCAAGCCCCCGGCAGTTCCGCCAGCACACCTGGGGCCCCTTCACCATTCAGGTCAATCCATTGCGTTGCACTGTTTTTGAACTCCGGTATCCACGCAGCGAGCTCTCTCGTTTCTAATTTACAGGGTGGCGGAGTCTTCTGATACTCGAATCTGAATGCCGGTAGACTTGATGTCTGGTACTCATCTTCTCCGATAGGACTGTAGCCGTTCTGAGTGCACGAATCGAGAAATGCCGATCCGGAATCTGGATCTGTATGATATTGGAAGCAAGTAGAATAGACTAGACAGTCCTGCCGTTTTAACTCCTCGGGGAAGTGATGAAACATCAGAACTCGGTTGCAGCGGCGATATGTCCGGATTTCGAAACAACTCTTGTATACTGAAAATGGATCTTCACGCACATGCCAGTTGCACTTGGCATCTGTTGTTGGCTTCTCTTCGTCATGTTCACCGTAGTCAAAGATGACTTCGAAGCACCATGGTAGGTCTCTCGGTAATGGCGAAATGATTTCCCAATTGATGTCACGAGTCGGGGTTCCGTTGCCATATCGGATGGACTTGAGGTAACGCTGGGTTGAACGTTCCGCGCTAGTCCTATGGGATTCGTAAGAAGTCTGAGAAAGCCCCGAGGGATCTTCTCCTTTGTATGTGTAGACTATATGATTTCCCCAACTATCTGCGGGACAGCAAATCGTTTCAGTTCAAGGCCGCGGAATCTATGATGATGCAATCGAAACTCGACGAGAAGATCATTGAAAGAATAATTCGAGATTATATCCATCAAGCTGAGGAGGTGCTGGACCTTCAACTGGAGGCTTACCTGTGGGATGAAGCACACAAGCGATTCCATTTGTTTGGTCGCACTCGCAAATCACCACCGACCTTCTACTATCGCAATGCGGATATGAACGTTTTAGACGGAAAGGACTACTACGTTCCTTCATGGTCACCATGGTCCATATTTCCTATTGAGGTTCCTGTTCTCGAAACCGACGCCGATGGCGCGAAGTTACCGCACCCAGGGTCATACATCATCCCAGTTACACATCGTAATAGGCTCTTGGTCTTTATTCCTCAGATTACTCTTCGCCAAAGCAAAGTACCGTCCCCTCCGGATAAAACGCTTGAGCAGTATGCCAAAGAGAAACCTGTTATGCCAGAGGATCATTTTGAGTGGGACATACGTCTGGGGTACAGCGAGCTACAGAATGGAAAATGGTCCCCGAAGAACGTCTTACAGGCTTCAGTTCACCTGCCAATATCAAAGCATGATGATCGGCTTGTGAATGACACCCATGATATGTCGGGGTTGGCTGCAAACACCCTTCGATCTCTGGACGATGGCACATGTACAAATGGGACTGCGGAATGTAAACATGTCAATATCGCTAATCTCAAATGTTGGCCGCGTCTCGTTGAGGAGGAAGGTACCACACCGAGGCTTGTTGTTGCAGTCGAGTGGGTCCAAAAAATGCCCGGAGCATTTAAAACTGGGCGCCAGCTTAAGGTAAAACCTATTGCAGATTACGTACTGATCGTCACAAGCTGATGCTGCGGGAACCCGCATCTGTTGGTAACCTACCAACCACCCTCACGGAGTTTGGAAAAGTCTACGGCAAAAAGTCCCACCAAGTATCCGAGTTCCGGGGAAAAGTGCTCGCTCATAATGGTGCGAAGCTTAACAAGCCAACATTGACTTTCCCCGTATACGTTCAGCCGGATTTCTCCCACTCAAAAATGGAGGAAAAGGTGGAATGGGTCATGTCCCTTGACGACATCAATCATTATACGCCTACTGTCCTCATTTGCGAGGTCCATGATCGTAGGGAGCATATACAATACATTGGGATGCCTCCAAAGGAGGGGATTAGGAAGGGCCCAGTCTCCAAATCGCAGCGGGTCAGGAATGAGATATTTCCTGAAATCATAGAAACAATGAGCGATTCCGAAGGCATCGAACCTATATTTCGATATTTGCGAGGCCTCTCTTCAGAAAAACATGGTGAAAGCTTTGGTTGCGACGCAGACTATCTCAAAGCCAGCGAAACGGCTACCCCACTGGCCATATACTCCTGGGAGCTTGGGGTACACCTTCCATCGCTTCTCATGGAGCGCCTTCTTGCGACTCACCGGTTGGAGCTTGCTTTGAAAGTGGCGAAGTCCATGTACGATTACAGCCGTACAGAGAATGAACGCTGGACCTTCCCACTGTTCCAGAAGAAAGAAATGCTTGAGAGCGCTGACGCCACAGTACCTCCAAGTGCAAACATACATGCCTCCGCTCGCAAAAATCCGGTAGCATATGTGAAGCGCATTGCCTTGAAGTATATCGAGATTCTGGTGGGCCTCGGTGATCAGCATTTTCGCCACGATACGCTCGAAAGCATTCCCCTAGCCCTTGAGAGGTATATTGAAGCATCAGAAGCGTTCAGCACACTCTCGGGTGTACTCGAAGTTCAAACGTCTCCAAGAGCACATAACACCAAACCCATACTAACCTACAGCAAAGTTGAAGAAGAACGTAAAAAGGCATCATCATGGTTACTTGAGGATGGCGGGTTCCACAAGGCTAAGGATACATTGCGTGCTTCACTGCACCAACTTATAGAAGATCGACTCTACAAAATTAAAAATGGGCTTGACATCAATGGTCGTAAGCAAAGACTCGCACTTTTTGCTCCTCCGCTTGATCCCGGTGCGCTGGCTCAGGCTAGGCCAGCAGCTGGGGGAATTGCAGGCCTCCTGTCCGGCATTGAGAGCCCGATGCCAACCCACCGATTCGATTATTTGATTCGTCATGCCCTTGATATTGTGAGCCATTTTCGAGGCCTTGAGCAGCAACGTCTTAACATCAGAGAGAAAAAGGATGCCGAAAGCCTAGTCGCTCTTCGATCTCGTCATCAGTGTACCGTCCTTGCGCTGATCAATAAAGTAAGGGAACACGAGAAGCAAAAGGCACTCAAAGCCCTTGATGCTATCAGTGTATCACGCACTCAGCATGAAAAAGCCATGGATTACTATCTTCAACTCACTGCCGACAAAGGCGGTGTCAAAGTTCCCAAGGTCGGTGAGTCATGGAAAGAGGTGCCTCCAGAGATCCATACAATCAAAGGGGATAACCCAATGTCTCCATTCGAGAAAGAGGAATTAGATAAGTCTGAAAAAGCATCCGATCTCTATCTAGCTGCGGGGGTGGTCAGTGCACTTGGTGAAGTTCTTGCCGCCATACCGGAGTTTGGGGCAAAGGTGCAGCCGATGGGTGCAGGTGTCGACAGTTCTACAGGCGGAAGTCTTTTCTCCCGAATATGCAACATCCGTACGGTTGGTCTGAGCATCGCGGCCCAACGCATGCAGGAGGAAGCCATGCAGGCCGCACGAAAGGGTGCGCTGAGCCGTGCTTTTCAAGAGCGCCGACAGGCTATCAATCAAATTGGCTGGGAGCTGATGCGGCTTGACAAAGAAAATCGCAGCTACAAGCTAGATGCGATATGTGTGACGCGGCGATCAAGGCATCACAGCAAGAACTTGAAAATGCCGCTGCGGAGGAGCAATGGCTGCGCACGAAGTACACTGGAGAGCAATTATAGATCAGGCTTGATAATGCAACGACGATGCTATGTCGTGAAACATATCAGCTTGCTCTTGAGATGGCCAATGTTGCCCAACGTGCTCTCCATTTTGAACACTCGCTCCGATTTTCTGCTAGTATGACACCAGACGGTCCGCCATTCAAAGGGTTGACCGATTACTGGGAGCAATCTCCCGACGGACAGCTTGCCGGAGAATCCTTGTATCTCGACCTTAAACGCATGGAGATGTTACATATGGGCAACCGTAGTCATGACTTTGAGATTGTAAAACACATCTCAATTCGACAGCTTAATCCATGTGCCCTCCTCCAATTGCGCGAGCAGGGCAAAACCGATTTCGAACTACCTGAGGTCATCTTCGATATGGATTTTCCCGGCCACTATTGCAGGAGAATTGCGTCTGTGGGGATTTCAATTCCCTGTATTCTGAATGCTTACACGTCGCTCAATTGCACCTTGAGCTTGTTAGAACACAAATATCGAGTTTCGCCGACTGGCAGCCCAAATGGCTTCTACGAGGAGAAGAACGAACAGAACGTGTTTCACAGGGACAGTATCCCCATCAGTGCTATAGCAGTCAGTAACGGCTTACATGACACCGGCGTCTTCACTCTCGAATTTGACCGACAATCACGGTACGGACCTTTCGAAGGGGCTGGGGCTATTTCAAACTGGCGTCTTGAATTTCCTTCGCAATTTCGGCATTTCGACTATAACACAATCACAGACGTTGTCATTCACCTCCACTATACCGCCGTAGATGGTGGAGAGCAGTTTGCTGGGACGGCTGCCAGCGCGGCAAAACAATGGGTTAGTGAGGCGAAAGGATCTGCATTTGCCGTTGATTTGAAGACGGAGTACCCTGATCAATGGCGGCAGCTAGGCCGGGAAGGTAGGATGGCCCTTCCAGGTATGACAAGACGATTGCCATATTGGACCCGAGGACAGAGCTTAAAATTGTCTACTCTCGAACTCCTGGTGCTTCCGAAGCCGAAGGAGACCTCTAATCCTGTCACAGTAGGTGTTGGGGAGGCTAGCATTGAATTGACTCACAATCAAAGAACTTGGAAAGAGTATGGGCACTTTGAAGGGAAGGTACCTTCCACCGACTTTGAGTCGGTATGGAGCATTAAGGGGTTGAAGGACGAATCTTTCAGTCAAGGGTGGCTCTTGGTCAATTCACCTCCACAGTCGTACCTTCCCAGTGAAGCTGAGATGTCATTTCTACAACTTTTACTTTTATTTTTTGAGCGAGCTTTCGAGAGACGTTTGTTTCGAGCATTAAAATTCTCAATGTACATATAATATACCATCCACATTGGTGATGCTTCTCGTAGACCAGGCACAACCCAGCCATGCCGGCCTGTGAGAAACAGCGTTTACCCCTGCTTGAACTACCACCGGTCTAGAGAAAAGTGGTTTATCAGATGTAGTCACGTTGGGGGTGATTTTCCCCTCTGTATACTGGTCACCCTGGATGACATGCGACAATTAATATATAGAAGTAATACATGACTAGGATTATCGTGCAGGTAGAGTATCTTTCCACCCCAGTTGCAGGAACGGGGTACTTCTTTTCTTCTGGTATGATACTTTAACGACATAGTAGTAATCATAAATCCAAGTTTCCCCAAACCATATACCCATCGAATCATACTCCATCATCCCGTCCACGCTGAGAGCGACCCTATCCTCAGCCGTTTCCACCATCCAAGTAAGGCTTGACCTACCATCCTTCTGCCTAACTTATTAGTACTAGCCAAAGACCTGCAGTTGCATACCTTACGTGGACATTCTTGAATATTTTCGCACCCCTCACTTACCCTCATCGTCAACGCATCAGAGGTAGGTAGGACAGCACACTGAACCAAGCCACGGAGAATTTCACACATTCTTTACCTACAGGATCGCCAAGCAAGGAGTCGACCATCTCTTTGTGTGCTGTGTTCCTGCTGACATTTATGATCATCACATACTATCTATTACCCACTCAACTCACTATTTAGTAACCACACCCCCGGCCTCTTCCCCCAGGCTACCTCCCCCTATTCTACCACACTTGATTATTGTCCTTTTATTTACTACTCTTATCATTGACAGATAATCTGATATCGTCCTAAAATAAAATACAATGGCACAAGCTTCTTCACCTTCCAAAAGACAAAGCGAACCTGGGAAGTATGTTAATGACTCTTACGACGTTGATAGACTCTGTTGCTGGGTTGATATGGAATCCACGACAGGTATTAAGGGCGTGCTGGTAGTTTGGGCGGACGGATCCTCAAGCGGGGTTATCGGAAGTACTTATGGAGACTACCATGAAATTACCATCGACACCCTTGACCAGAACCCAAGGACTTTCTGCGAGCTTCTAGCGGACTTGCGCGATTCGAAAGACTGTAAAGGGTACAGTGACCGGTTCTGCCAATGCCGGGTGAAGCCTCCCTTTACGGGGATCAAGACATATCTTGATGGAGAAGGAAAGTTGATTGATATTGAAATTTTGGAAAAAGGTGCCGGTTCCGATCCCAGTCCCAAACAACCTTTCCAGTTACACGAGAAGTCTCGGTTACGACAAAGGTCCGCCTTCCAAGGGAGGTCTGCCCTACACCAAAGATTTCTATCCCAGTGGAGCTCCCTCGTTGGCTGAACAAAGGACCTTCCGCGTGTGTGGCAAGCTCGACAATTGCCCCATAAATCCATGTCCTCATAACACCGATGACACATGTTATCTCTGTCACCATAACGCAAACTGTCCCTCTCTACAGCAACAAATACTGCCAGACCTGTCAAGGTAGCCTCCGATTTCGCGAGGTTCGCGAAGATCCCTGCAGCCATCTCGAAGGTTGCCCCAATCATCTCTGTTTCCTACACAACACTATTCCTATTTATCCATGTCATGGATGCCACCATCACCGAGAATGTCCCTGTTCCATGTATCACCGTAGAAACTGGAGAAATCACTGTTCTCTCTGTCATCAAACCCCCGGCGAACCCATTCAGTATACCAGTGGAAATCCCGATCACCCTTCGCTGTCCTCGAGCGCACTAAGAAAAAGACACCGTGAGAAGCAGGGTCGAGTTGAGGGCAAAGCTTCAGGAAAAGATAAAATTTAGTGGTCACGGATTCAATATCCCCCCGTTTACAAGAGTATATCCATACTAAAGAATTGTCCTCCTTTACCTAAAGCCTGTACTATCACGCTCCATGTTCCAAGCTCTACATGACACTAAGAATACTACTACAATATATAGTATATCATAGCGTGGGACGATTATAAACCTACACCCAGTATGCAAGATCGTGCATTACCACACCACATCTGGTCATCACACATCATTCCCTCTCATTTATAAGCTACACCCCTCCCCCGCCTCTCCCCCTGGCTCCCTCTCCTGACCCGCCACCGTCAAATTCAATTCAATCCCATGCCTCACTCCACTGTCATCGTACTTATACGACATGACGATGCAAAATTACAATCCTCCTTCCGAGTTTCATTATCATTCTGACTACGAAATCATCAGGCTTTGTGTCTGGGTTGAGGAGAATAAAATCAAGAGAGTCATCAAGGGCATCCTCGATAGTGTGGGAAAACGGTTTCTCGAGCGGAATTATCGGGCGTGCCTTTGGGGAGTATCATGAAATCTTAATCAACTCTCCTAGCATAGGATCAATGATCTTTGCCACTGAGACGATCGTGAGATTGTACAAGTTCTTGTATACCGAAGGCGAAGAGAGCAAAGATATTGCACTCTGTCATGACCATTCTGTCGAACAAGGTCCTCTCCTCGAGTACAAGATGGCTTCTCCCATATGTGGGGTCACGACATATTATGACAAAGAGGGCACGTTATTGATTTACACCTTATGGAAAGTGAGTGTGTTGTTGATTTCGGCTATCGATATTACTACTTACTTCAGATCATACTGACTTTGCCATAGGTGAAGAGGAAGAAGCCCGCCGGCAGACTGATGACCCTGTTCGGGTTCTATTAGAATTGTCCCGCTAGTACTATTGTGGGAACAGCTGTCCACGGTGATGCATGATATTGCTTCTATTGAGAGATATTCCCGGGTGGGAAAACCCCCTGGTGACAGTACCGCCAGTGACTGTGGACATAACTGAATCTTAGTATTGACCCGTTCAGGACTCGGCCATTGCTCAGATAAGTAGGCTTTCATTAGTTAGTACCATAACTTATTAGGAGCAAGCCTCGAACCGACACATATATGGATTGATCACGTAAAGGAGGGCAATGAAAGTAGCAGATAGATATGTTATTTGTACCTAATTACAAGATTACAAAAGCATGGTGCTAAACGTAGGCACCACAGGTCAGCAAGTCCATCCCGTCCATCATTCTATCAGTCAATAACAGTAGCAATAGTACTGATCCACAGTACACCACAGCAAAGAGGCAGCTGGGCTGAGCTGGCTGGGTTGCACAGCGCGGGGCACCAGCAGGCAGTGGGTCACAAACAAATGCAAGTAAAAGGGTAAAGTAGTTACACAAAAAAGTGAAAGCGCGCTCTATACATGATCGCATCCAGCCATGCATGCAAAACGAACACCAGATGCTCAAGAACAAGCAAACCCATAACCGAGCTCTAGGAAGGACCTGCTGATTCTTGGCTCAGTAGAAAAGAAGAGCTTTCTACACCGCAAGGTGGCTTTGGTTTCACCGCCCTCCCCTTTTCTATTGCCCCCTCTCCTTGGGCTCTTATATTACCCCCTTCAAGAGAATATTCCCCTTTCAGCTTCACTGCCCAAAGTTCACTTTCTCCCTCACTCTATGTTTGCTGCATTTTTCGTGGGGTTGTCTCAATTTTCACGGCCTTTCTCGCCGCCCCAGGAGATGCTCCGTCGACTTTGACTGCGACTGTGTCGGTTGTATGGGGAATTATTCTCTTGTCCCTCACTGGAGTTCTCGCCCGATTGTTGTCTGCTAGTTGGGGGCTTCGTGCCGTCGGCAAAGGAGACCTTCGCCTCAGCATCGTTGCCCTCATCGTCCGTTTCTTCTAAAAGAACATCCGGATCGTCGGAATCCTCCGAGTCATTGATTTCACCAAGCGCAGCCAGACGACGACGGCGTTCCGCTGGCGTTTCACCCGTGTCATCCAAATCCGCTTGCTGGGGAGGACGAGTGAGTCCGGCCGCTTCGCGAAGTTGAGCAGGCGGAATACGTTCCGTGCCATCATCATCGGAATCCCGTCGTGACCGGGGATGCGATCTCGGAGACGTGGATGTAGGACTGAGGTGGGAACTGCGACGTTCCTCGGCTGCTGTGCCACGTGTGAACCGTGCCAACGAAGCGGCAATGTCGCCGGGCACTTCCACGTCCGATTCGCCGTCCGTGAATTCGCTTCCGGTGCCGGTTTCATCATCTTCGGCGACGGGGGCAGGGGCAGGGGCAGGGGTAGGCCGAGAGGCCACTCCAGGGTCTGAACGGCGGCGCTCTTGCGATTCAGCCTTCTGAGCCTCCTGGCGAGCCGCCTTCTTGACCCGCTCGGGGGCGTCGGTCTCTTCGACCACATCACGACGTGCTTTGGGACCAAGGTTACGAATCTGTTGGGCAAATTCATGTTTGGTCATGCGGCGACCCTTGTGCTCGACGCCTCTCTTGCCCACATCATTGTCATCAGCCAGGGTGAAACGCAGACCATCATCCGCCAGCCAGTCGTCTTGCGCAGCCTTGCGGGCGGCCTGCGATGTTTCGCCTTCCTCTTCCATACCGAACCACGTACCCATCCTTGTCAGTCCGCGACGAACAGGGGCATCCGTCTCAGGCTTATCCCCAGAAGGAATGGAATACTTCTTGATGACTTCTCCGTCTTCGTCCTCAACAATGATGGTGTTGCCGAACTGGTAGGCGTGAGCGGAGCGACCTTTGGCCTTGGCAGGCTTCTTCGATGCTTCTTCAGCCTTCTTCTTTTCTTCAGTCTTTCTGGCCTCCTTGACCTCTTGGTCTTCGGCACGACCCTTCCCAAGTCCAATCCACTGGCCGAAACGCTTACGAGCTTTGTCCAGCGGGTGCCCGGTCTTTTCGCCAACGGCCTGCTCAATCTCCTCTCCTTCAGTCTTGCCATGAGGCTGGCTGCGGGATTTGGCGTATTCGTCCGATTGTTGCTGCAACTTCTGGCGTTGTTCTTCCATATGACGCTGTTGCTCCTCAGTGGACATATGACTGATATTTTCAACCTTGAGAACGTTGCCTTCT